CACCTTCCTGTTTCCTCGTCTCCAAAACGAGCATAGCAATGCCGTCTTCCTGGAAGCGTTCCTAGAAGATCAAGCCCGTTGACATTCGCTCGAGTGCTTTGTCCACAGCTCTCACCAGAGCTCTCATCTGTCATCGCCGCTGCCATTCCACCCCCTGCCGCGCGGCCGCCTTTCGAGGGCAGGGACGCTGGTGCCCGAGAGCATTTGGTAGATGATGGGCAGGCGCGCCGCCCTGCCAACCTGCTCTGCCGCTTCCAAGGAGGGAGTGGTTTTGTGCTCTGACCTGGCGTGACCTCCCTCACGGTGCCCAGCTGTGCTCCTCCCCTGAGAGGACCAGCAGGAGACATGGATCGTGCACCTGCTGCGTGGGAGGTGTTTTTAGGATGCCCACGGGAGAAACCGGCGTTCCCGTGTCTGCGAGGTTCGGGGTTCCCCCTGGCCTTCGGGAACTTTTAAAAAGCAGGTGCTCAGACTTACTGAGTCAGAATCAGTTAAGGGGAGACCTGGGCATGAATATGCTTTAGAAGGTCCATAGGTTCATCATATGGACAGCCAGGGCTGGACAGCAGGGCATTCAGATAAATTCAAGTTGCTGCACCTCGTATCTCTGTTTTTCAAGGAATTAAGTTTCTAAGTGGCCTGGCACACACCCAAACCACCCAAACATATACCCGTCTCTTAGAGAGGGTCATTGCCTTAGCCTCAGTGGACACATGTGCAGGCGTGGCTTAGCATGTACTTCTTAGTCTGCACATGTTTGCTATTTGAACGAATGAACAGAACCCTGTAAGTGAATATCAGAACATGCCTGTATAGTAGACCACGAATCATAACCCAGACCGTGTATTTTCTTAAACGTCGCTATGCACCGGAATTGGTGAGGTTGTCCTGGACACTGACCCAGGCGTTTGACAGGCTTCCTGCAGCTGTCACATGGCGAAGGGCATGCCTGCCCTCAGAGCTGTGGGAGCTGGACACCATGCGGAGCCGAGTGCCTGGCACAGCCCCTGCCGCGTGGCAGGAGCTTGGTAATGGCAGTAATGTAATGCCTGTGGATGGGAAGCAGCTCGGCCAGCGTGGCCGTGCCACCCACAGAACTCTGCTTTTGCAAGTGCCCTGTAACTGTGGCAGCTGCCCACGGTCACGGCTGGGTGAGTGGACGGCGCTCTGAAAGAGACAGAAACCCCTCAGTGTGGCGATGGCGGCCGGCACGGGTGGGTCACACGGACATGTGCCCGGGCGGCCAGCTGTTTGCCCTCCCAGCTTCTGATGCGCACCCTCTGGCCTCTGTGGAGGCCACCACAGCGTGGGAGGGAAGTGATTAGAGGAACTTCAGCTGCCTCGCTCCCTCTGAATGGCCCTTTCATCAGGATGTGCAGGCACAAGGGCCTTTTTCAACCCAAATATCAGGGGGAGACGAGACTGCCACCAGAGCCATTTGCTCTTTGGGCGGGAGCATCGGCCGAGGCCAAGGCCGAGGACTCCTCGCCGGAGGACTCCAGCCTCTTGCTCACCTGCCCTCCTGCTCCTGGGGCAGAAGGCAGGAGCGTGGGGTCGCTGACCATGTGATCGCCGCAGTCATGAAGCTTCTTTATCTCACCGACTTCTGCGTCTCCCTGCAGCCACCTCCTTACTTCTGCTCTTCAGAGGCTTCCGGCCCACACTAGTACGTATCCCCTGCTGGTCTCTGTTCTCTGTTCTCCTGCCCGGCTCCGTGACGGGACCAGTGGCTGCTGATGGCCTGAGGGCTGGGGGGTTTTTGAGGAGCAGCAATTACGGTTTTTCTCTCCGTCTTCGGTGCCTTGTAGAGACTTTAATCTCGCGGCGGCGTCTGAAGCGGCGGAGCCAGTGTCTGAGGACACGTTCATCCGTGGAGATAACGGCGCCGGGGATGGGGGTCGGGAGGGCAGAAGTCGGCTTTGTTTTTACTTCGAGATTTTTCTTACAGCAACGGAGGGAAACAGTTCCGTTCCGTGTGTCTGGGTCAGACCCTCTGGAACTCGAGGCGGGTTTTCTGTAGCGGGATGGGTGGTGGGTGGGCTTGTGCTTCTGTGCCATGGTCAGAGTGGGTTTGTTACAGGGCCTCCTTCCCCAGAGGGGCGCCTTGAGACCCGGGAATCGGGTAGTAGATTGCCCCTGGGTAGTAGAGGCCTGGCAGAGCCCCCCACGGCGCCCTGGCGGAGGGAAACAGTGATCGCATCCGCCACGCCGAGGGCGCCTGAGGCTCTGGGCCTGCAGTGAGCTGGGCACAGAAGAGCTGGGAAGCAGGATCTGGGAGAAATACCCGTGTCTTGTTCTCCTGATCTTGTGACTGCCCTGGCTGCTCGGCCCAGACAGTCATCTTGTGCGGCCGTCCTCGCGCTCTGTCCTCTCGCTGCCACCCAAGCACAGGTGAGGGCGCGGGGCTGCCCACAGCTTCCAGTCTCCTCCTCTCCATCCTCTCCAGTACACCCCAGCGAGGAGTTCCAGGAGGGGGACAGGGCCCCATCTCACAGCTCCCCTACACTCCCCCCCCCCCCGCCCCCCAGGCTTCTCGCGGGCATGGGAGGCCCTGGCTCTTTATCAGTCTCAGGGACCCCGAGGAACAACTGGCCCCGTCAGCGATCACAGGATAAAGCGGCCTGTTCCTCTGCATTGTTCCCCTTTTTTTCCAAAGGAAGTGAGAGGGAAACCAAGGGGAATTTCTGCCCGTGATTTCCAAGGCGAAGGTCACGGTTCATGGCTGGCTGTTTCCAGAGTGCTTGGGGTTCGGGTCAGGGCGGATTTCTGTTTTTCTGGGGTTTTCGGCTTTTTGTTTTGTTTTTTTAACTCGTGGACAAAAGAGGGTGATGTTGCCTTGCAAACCTTTCCGCCCGCTGCTTCGATGTGCTGGCGGTTGCGTTTCTTTCGTGGGTTTCGGAGTCCCTTGGGCAGCTCTCCCAGATTTCACTGAGCATCCGCAGTGAGTGGTCTGTGTCTGAAAATAAAGTTGGTTGTGAAAGTCCAAGGAAGGAGAGGGGGACAAACGAGGAGGGTGGGAGAGTGCTGGGCGATCTGCCGCCTGCTGAAACACCACTGGGTTTCAGACGGGCCAGGTGGGGGTCACAGAGCCTCTTGCCCCCCATGGGTGAGAGCGAGGCAGCAAAGGAAGGTGCCTCCCTCCGTCTCCTCCATCGGTTAGAGTCCTGGGCTCCTCAGCACTCCTCACTGGCAGCACAGATATCTGACCCATACTAGGTGGGGAGGATGGCTTGGCAGTGCCTTCGCGATCATAAATAAAGAAGCTGTACAGAGGTATTGGTGTTACAAAATCTGTAAAGCCCATTATCAGCAATTCCGAGGCCCCAGTGAGAGAGGCAGACGGAGCCTTCCTATTTGATATTTGAGCAGTCCCTATTTTTAGCATGGGAACTCAACCAGGAGAACCAGCAGATGGGATTGTGGACTTGCATTCTAGAAGATAACCGTTTCTGATTCCAGGATCTGCTGGCTCGCTCGCTAGCTTGTGGGGTGAGTTTTCGTGGCACCCAGAGTTACTTGTTAGAGGTAGCTGGCGGTCTTATTCCAGGATTAGAAGGTTTACTCACAGGGGATGTCTGGCCCAGAGGTGCTCTGGCTTTCTTACGTTACCGAAGACGTGGTTGTGTTTCTACCAGGAACTGATTTGCTCTCTGTTCAAACCAAAAAAGTGCCCCATTTTCTTAAGAGATTTCCCTTTCAAGTCATTTATATATTAATCGGTTGCTCAAGAGAGAATTGTTCATTTTTACAGCTTATAAAAATTGTGGTCTTTTAGAAAATTAATAAGAATAATTTTTTTCATTATAATGTACATGTTTTCTATTACTTTTGAAAGTCAAACAAAAACAATCATTTAAAAAAGTTAATATTTGCTCGATGTAGAAGATTTGAAAGATACTAAGAGGTAGAAAGAAGATAATCATAAGTAGTCCAACCCCTCAAAAAACATGTAATAATTTTGGGTAGTTTTCAGAGTTGACAGTATTTTTGAATAATTGGGAGTAATTAATAGATAATGCAGTCTACCACTTTATGCAGTTTTAATTTCTGTATAAGCTAATGATATTTTTAGAGCATTTGGAAACCTTGGAAAGGTTTTCATTGCAAATTTTTAAATTATGGGTTGAATATTACTGTTTTTGGTAGTTAAAATAACAAAAGACCAGAGATTCATTCTGCTGAGAAATTCATTGGGTCGACTTGAGGTTTTCTGTAGCAACAGTGGTGGACACAGCGCCCTTGACTAGGCTAAATCCCAGGTCAACAGCCCCTGAGCTTCCCTTAAGATGCAAACAAATGGTGACAGTGCCCCTTCCTCTTGCTTGGATCCCATCCAAGGAAGGCAGCAGGATGCAGTGAAGCTGTTAGAAGACACGGAGTTAAGAGACAGGTCAACAGCAAGGCTACGGAAGATGCACCCCTGCCCTCAGCAGAGTTGGTCCCTGTCTTTTTTGTTTGTTTTAAAATATATTTTATTGATTTTTTTACAGAGAGGAAGGTAGAGGAATAGAGAGTTAGAAACATCTATGAGAGAGAAACATCGATCAGCTGCCTCCTGCACACCTTCCACTGGGGATGTGCCCGTAACCAAGGCACATGCCCTTGACTGGGATCGAACCTGGGACCTTTCAGTCTGCAGGCCGGCGCTCTGTCCTATGAGCCAAACTGGTCAGAGCTCAGTCCCTGGTTTTAGAGGTTGTTGTATCACAGGGAGATCCCTTCCAGTGTCCCGAGGAGGGGGCTCTCGGGCCTGGCAGAGCCCACATGGAGCCCGGGTGTTTGAGCAGAAGCGTCGTTTCCACTTGCACACTCTCCAGCAGCAAGCTTGTAGCAAAGCTCCGGGAAGACAGCTCTGGGAAATGTCTCCAAAAGCTGTTTTATCCCATTTAAACTCTCTGTGCTCTCTGCCCGCACCTCGGCTTTTCAACCCTGTGGCATGTCTTTGCCCATTTTCCTCTCTGAGCTCCGGCCTGACCGTGCTCCGGTTTCGTTCTCCCCAGCTTAAGCGAGAGCTTTTTCATGGTGAAAGGAGCAGCCCTCTTCTTACAGCAGGGAAGCAGCCCTCAAGGCCAGCGAAGCCTGCAGCATCCCCACAAGCACGCAGGTAAGCCTGTGCTCTTACACCGGAACTCGTTTTCTCTGCCCCTTCCTGGTGGGGAGCCGTGTGTGGGTTTTCAAGGCCAGGGAACTGGCGGGGCCAGGGCTGTAAGGACTGGTCCAGGGAGAAGCCTCTCTGCGCAGGCGCACCAGGCATGGCATCGAGGTGATGGGCCTCTGGGTGATAATGTATTTTTTTAAAAAATATATTTTATTGATTTTGTACAGATAGGAAGGGAGAGAGATAGAGAGTTAGACACATCGATGAGAGAGAGTCATCGATCAGCTGCCTCCTGCACACCCCCCACCGGGGATATGCCCGCAACCAAGGTACATGCCCTTGACCGGAATCGAACCCGGGAGGGACCCTTCAGTCCCCAAGCCTACGCTCTATTCATTGAGCCAAACCTGTTTCAGCGATTACGTATTTTTTTAATTCTAGTTTTTAAACTTTCTATAACAGGTTGTATTCTTTTCACACTGCAAAGAGTGATCCCAGTTCTGGAACTGACTGTGTTGTCATAGTCAACTTCTGAGCCTCAGTTTCCTGATCTTTAAAATGGGCATCACATACCCATGACCTTGGCGGTCATGAAATTTAAAATTTACTCTAGGTGCTTACGTCCTCGTAGGTGCTCCGGGTATGATCGCTATAATGATTTCCTACGGTGACTTCTGGTACAATAAAGCTATAAACAGAACCGTTATTTTTGAGTTTGCTATCGGCTTTGCTCATAAGCCATTGTTTATGTCTGAACAGTAATGCGTATAGCAAAGCAGATGCCCAAGCTTTGCTCACTCTGTATGAAACCTCTCCTTCCTCTGAATCCAGCGTGTTTTCCCACTGTGTGAACTTGCTTTGTTGGTCCAATAGGTGACTTGCCCCAGCATCTGCAAGTGATGATCAACCTTCTGCGTTGTGAAGATAGAATCAAGCTGGTAAGAAGAGACGAGAGTGGCAAGTTTTAATTTTTAATTGTGACGTTTGGTCGGGAATTACTGATGAGCAGCGGGTGGGGAGGAGAGGGGCCAGGGAGTATGTGAGTTTTTATATTTTAGCCGGTTCTTCAGAATTATTCCCAATGGCCAAAGCGGTGCTTGCTCCTCGGTGCCCAGAGGGTCCAGAGAAAGGATGTGCCTGTCAGCCTGCCAGTCTGTGCAAAGTTGGCGTCTTCAGTGTCTGGGTTTTGTTATTCACCCGTTTCACACACTCGGCGAGGGGCCCCCCACGCCAGGCACTGTCCCTCGCGTTGGGGTACAAATGAGATGCGGCTCCTGTGCCTGAGAGTCTCCCCTTAATGCCTAAGCTCGCGGGGAACGGTAGACAGCAGACGTCCTTGACCTTGGGTGGGCGGAGGAAGGGGGCACGACCAGAAGGGCGGGCCGTGAACGCCGTCTGCCCTGCAGGCCGTGCGTCTGGAGAGCGCCTGGGCGGAGCGGGTCCGGTACATGGTGGTGGTGGACAGCAGCGGCCGCCAGGACACGGAGGAGAGCATCTTGCTGGGCGTCGACTTTTCCAGCAAGGAGAGGTGAGCCGATGGGACAGGAGGCGCCGCTGGGAAAAGATGTCCCTGGGAGGTGGCGGCAGGACGCTCGATGGCGGGAGGCGGGGTGACCAGGAACAGCAGGGCACGGCATTTCCGCTCCTGTGTGCGGCACCGCGCCAGATCCGGTCTCTCTCCGAGCTCAGGGCCTGCTGAGAGGAGAGGTCTGACCCTGGGTGCCACTGGGCTGCTCCAGGCGAGGGCACTTAGCTGGGAGGGCTTCCTGGAGGAGGTGATGGCCGTGGCGAACACCCAGTCGGGAGCCAGTCCCTCGAAGCAGGGAGGACGCCCTCCAGGCAGACGGGCCTGTCTGGGAAGCATGTGCTCGACAGGCAGCACGTCGAGGGCCTTACCCAGTGTTGCTGACCCTCAGGTCCCCGAACTTGGCGACGGTCCCGGGTCAGAGGCTGGAAGAGAGGTTTGGAATGTCCCAATAACTAGAGGCCAAGTTCGGTGTATCACAGGCCCCATTACTTGTGCGAAATGAAGGCGAATGGCTCTCCTGACATCCAGGATGAGTTAATGCATGTGAGATCACTGCAAAGCCTGGGTTTGTTAAAACTGGATTAAATGGGCCCCCCTTAGTCATCATTCATTAATCTCCTCATTCATTAAGCAAACAGTTTGCATTCTCCTGTGTATGAGGCAACAGGCAAGGCCCAGGTAAACACAGAAGCAGCAGGACACACCGTTCCTGACCTCAGAGAGCCTGAGAGCTCAGTGAAGAAGAGCCATCATCAGATGCTGAGGATGGCTCAGCGATGCAGAGACGTGGAGGGTGAGGGGTGAGGGAGCACAGGAGAGAGGGAGCTGTAAAGGGACCATGTCAGAGGCCTCTGCAATATGCAGTGGCTAAGCCGGTCCCAGAGGACAAGCAGGCAGCTGGGAAAATCCAGGGGATGGGACGTGGCGGGCTGGGGCTCTGAGGGGTCCCCTCCTTGCCTCACCCCAGCACTGACACAGCCGAGAAGTTCCGGGAGCTCTGGGTTCCAGCATAGGGTTTACTTTGCAACACTGCAATGGAAGTGTCATCAGCCCATCGGGGATGGGGAGGACTGCAGGGTGGGACGGGAACTGGCCTAACACGAAAGGCTGGAGGAGTCCGGCAGGGGCAGGGGCAGGGGCAGGGGCGGGGGCAGGGCTGCAGGTGCCAGGCTCCCTGTCTGCACAGTCGCACGCTCGTCACAGTACTCCCCGGGCGGGCTGCTAAGTGGCAGCGGAGATGTAAGCTGGCGGCTGCGGCGCTGGTCTTGGCACAGTCACAGCGGTTCCTCACAGCGACTCTCTCACGTTCCGGAGGAATGTTCCTAAGAATCTGAGGAGCCCCTGCGATAAGCCCTCTCGTCCCCTCGGCATGTCCCAGCGGCGCCAGCCCCTGCAGTATCATTTCCCTGGTAGGACGGGCAAAACAAAAGCGGATCAGGCCTGTTCTGAAACAGCAGCTGCACGAAAGGCACAGACACAGAGGTCTGGCCCTGAGCTCCGGCAGCGGTGTTGGCACGCTGCCCTGCCCCCTCACCCCAGGACCGGAGCCTGGGCTGGCTGCCTCCGCTCGTCTGTGTCCCCCAGAACGCAAGTGGCTTTGTGCCAGGAGTGCGCCAGCCATTGGCAGCGTCACCCCGCTGCAGTGAGTTCCTGTGGTCAGCTGGTCGCTCCTTCTCCCCTGAGAGCTGCCGTGGAGACCTGGTGTTTATGAAACTGCAACCACATCAGACCAGGGGGTCAGAGTCCCCCGTGACTGTCTCCATGCCGGGGTCACTGGCAGCTCCCTCTGGTGCGGCCATCGCAGACCCGTGTCTTCCAGAATTCAGCCTACGAGCAACTCCCAGGGACACACCTGGGAGCTGGGCCCGGGTCGGGTTGGGTGAAGACACGGGGAAGTGTGTGTGTGAGCAGGTCCCAGATAATGTGACTCTAACCTAGACCTCTCCCTTTCCTCCTCGTAGTAAAAGCTGCACCATTGGGATGGTTCTCCGGCTGTGGAGCGACACGAAAATCCACCTCGATGGCGACGGGTAAGCAGTTCTCTTCAAAAGTTCTTTTAGCTCAGCCAGCGTGGCTCAGTGGTTAACCACCAACCTATGACCCAGGAGGTCGCGGCTGGTCCCTAGCAAGGGCGCATGCCAGGTTGTGGGCTCTGTCTCCAATGGGGGACATGCAGAAGGCAGTCATTCAATGATTCTCATCATCGAAGTTTCTGTCTTTCTCTCCTTCTCCCTTCCTCTCTGAAATCAATAAAAGTATATTTAAAAAATAATAAAAAGTTCTTTTAGTCACTGTAAACTCTGAAACACGAGTTGGCTTGGGCATCATTGGGTAATCATCAGCAAAAGAGTCACATATATGACGTGCCTATTGCATCAAGAGAAGTGATATTGCCCCAATGAGCCACCCAAGGAAAGGCACAGCCTGGTCATGGTGCGGGGAGTTTGGGTCATGACGTAGCCACAGAAGCACCTTACAGGGGATCACTGCTGTGTGACGCTCAGCACCAGCAGGAAGTGGACATTCATTCATTTACTGTCATTGGTCAGTTAATGCCCACAATGTGCCCTCCCTTTGGGGCTGGTTCCTAAAAGCTCACAGATAAATGTGACACAGCAGGAGCTCACCGATTCGGTGGTGCAGGGACAACCGACGGGGGCGGAGGATGGGGGCCAGCAGAGATAGAAGCATTTAGTTCGTCCAGGGCAGGAAGGTGAGAGAAAGGGCCATTGGCTCTTCATGTTTGTCCCAGGGGAACACATGGGTTCTGCGAGGGGTGGAAGGAGGCAGGATGGGAGAAATAAACATTCAATTTCTTGAAGACATAGGAATTTTAAAAATTTTGTCTTTCATTAATATTTCTGTGCAGTTCCCCCCAAAAATGTTGATGGGACACACAGGTGGGGTGGGCCATGGCCAAGCATCTACGCGGTGGGGTCGAATGCTGTCATTGCCTCGCACCCTGTGCTGGGGTTTCCCTTTTGGCAGACCTCGTGTGGCTGGGTTGAGAACGAGCCTCCCCGGATGGAGAGCCCATCTCGGCCCGTGTCTGATGCCGCTGGCCGGTGGTCCCTCATCACACAGCATGAGGCACGCTGGTCCTGAGAGTGTCCCGGAAGGCCTGCCCCACGCCTCACAGGGTGTGGTGGAGGGGGCTGATTTCTCACCGCGCTGTCTTTCTGTCTTTCTGTCTTTCACTCTTAGTGGCTTCAGCGTCAGCACAGCAGGAAGGATGCACGTCTTCAAGCCCGTATCTGTCCAGGCCATGTGGTGAGTGTGGTTTTAGGGACTTTCAGCTCCTTGGAAATAGTGTCCCAGCTGACCGCAGGACTAGAAAACCCCCTGCTAGAGGTTTTAGGTGCATTTGTTTTGTACATTTGTTTTGTGTGTATGACAAGCTCTCCCTGACAGAACTGACTGCTTTCACCATTTTTTGCCAGTAAGTGTGCGATTCCGCGGCATGAAGTACGTTCACAATGTCGTGCACCATCACCACCATCCATCCCCGGTGCTCCTCCACCATCCCCAACAGAAACTCTGTTCCCACTAGCCACAAACGCCCAGCCCCCTTCCTCCAGCCCCCGGGCACCTCTGTGCCCGGTCCCTGGGAAGTGGCCTGTGCGGGTCCTCTGTAAGTGGGACTCTTTGTCCCTGCCTCTGGCATCTCCCACTCAGCATCATGCTTTCTCATTGCACCTATGCTGTATCACGTGTCAGAATTTCCTTCCTTTTCGTGGCCGAATACTGCTCCATGATATGGCGACACCACGTTCTGTCTATCCACTCATCCGCTGGTGGACTTTGGAGTTGTTGCCACATGGATGGGAGGGGGTGGGAGTTGTAAGAGGTCTGTGCCGCATGGCGATGAGCTCCCTCCCAACAGCGAGGCTGATTGTAGCTCCCACGTTTGCGATGCCCACGGGCCTCCCTCGGAAGTAACCCCGGTCCTTGGGAGTGAGTCAGTGGACTGTAAACTGATGTGTGAGCCAGCGGGTGGGGAGGAAGAGGAAGGCCTCGTTTCCTCGTTGGGCAAGGTGAAGGATGCTCTGTCTGCTCTCGGGTCAGCGCTGTGTCACGGAGACTAGCCATGGAGCCAGGCAGGCTGGGAGCCCCGGTAGCCAGTCCTGTATGGCCTGCCCTTCCCTCCCCGCCCCACTTAAACGCCTGTGCCTCCCAGGCCTGACCCCGTCCCCTCCTCACCCAGGTCCGCCCTGCAGGTGCTCCACAAGGCCTGCGAAGTGCCTCCCAGGCCTGACCCCGTCCCCTCCTCACCCAGGTCCGCCCTGCAGGTGCTCCACAAGGCCTGCGAAGTGGCACGGAGGCACAACTACTTCCCCGGGGGCGTGGCTCTCCTCTGGGCCACCTACTACGAGAGCTGCATCGGCTCCGAGCAGAGCTGCATCAACGAGTGGAACGCCATGCAGGACCTGGAGTCCACGCGGCCCGACTCCCCGGCCCTGTTTGTCGACAAGTGAGTGGGATGCCCCCTGCCCCACCCACCCGCCCCGCCTCGTGCCCGACTGTGTCCCCACGAGGTCTCACCTGCTCTGGTCGCACCCCCTCTCCCAGAGCCAGCCTCTCGTCCCTGGCGGGTGGCCTGTTGGTGGTCTGCGACCACCCCTCACTAGCGAAATCACAAATGTGGGTGTGACTGCATCTCTGTGTCCCAGCCCCCCGTCCCGTGTGCCCTGTGGCCCTGCACTGCAGGCTCCGGTGGGAGGGAGCTCTGGACACAGCGCAGACTCGGTCCCTCCCCCACTACCTGCTGAGGACACACGCCGAGGCGTTACCTCTGTGGGCCCAGGCCACGTCCTGCTGATGCCAGGAGTGCCGGCGTCTCTGTGAACTCCGACCTCAGGCTTCCCTTGCAAAGTTCTGCTCTTTCCTCCTTCCCCTCCAGGCCAACGGAAGGGGCGAGGACCGAGCGCCTCATCAAAGCCAAGCTCCGCAGCATCATGATGAGCCAGGACCTGGAGAACGTGACCTCCAAAGAGGTAAGAGCTCGTCCCTCCTCAGCGGGCCGGAGCCTCGGGGCCTCCCTTTCCGGGCGGTGCACGGCTCTCGGGGCTTTTTCCTGCCACGTGCCCGCTGTGAGGCTTGGGCAGGTTTCCTGGGCTCACTCAGTCCGTAAGGTCTTAGTGAGGCTTCCATGAGACCCCTCGATGGCACCGGAAGCAGTTCCTGTGAACACCTCTCTGCTCCACGTGCCTCCCCAGCACGTTGCTAACCATGGACGGCTCTCCTTCGGCCTCTTGCTGTTTCTCTGGTCACAGTTCTCCCCCAGCTGCTTTTGGTTCAAGGAATGCAATGGATTTTAATAACAGCTTACCCAAGGTAGATCTAAGTGGTTGAAATGGCTATTTCTGAATATACAGTCTTTTTCTTTATTAATAATATACAACATCACGTTATGATACCTTCCAAAGCAAGATGAAACTGACTTGGGATTATCCGGCGATGTGTTTGATATTTAATCGTAAAGACATAAGTGCTTTTCACTCAGAAAAGATCCCCTGGGAATCAGATTCCTCATGTGAAACCGTGTCATATTTACTTTGAGGCAGAGTGGCCTGCATTCCCACCACCCATGCCTGTGCGCCACTCGGCATAAAAAATGCAACAAAAAAAAACAAACCAATCCCACATTTTTTGGAAAACAGCCTCAGTTTGCATTGTGAACGTACTTCTTTGGGGGTGACAATCGTCTTCTTTAACAAATCGCTTTTCTTAATGTCTCCCCCTCCGCAGATCCGTAATGAATTGGAGAAGCAGATGAACTGTAACTTGAAAGAATTCAAGGAATTCATAGACAACGAGATGCTCCTCATCCTGGGACAGATGGACAAGCCCTCCCTCATCTTCGATCACCTTTACCTCGTAAGAGGCTCAGCGGGGTCTGGCTTGGGGAACATACATCGGACCTTGGTTGTTTAGAGCAGGTCAGAGAGGGGGAAACAGAGTTACTGGAGCTTGGATCCTGACTTTTACGGGAATACCCCCTCTCCCCCTTCCTCTGGCTGCAGCCTCATGGTTTGCTCTCCAGGCAGATGCTTGCGATGTTGCCACAGCTGGGCTGGGGTGGGGGGTGTTATTTGATCGTTAACTGGCAACCGTTTTCAAGACTCTTGCCATCCCATCTCTTCAGGGACTAGCACAGGCCCCGTCCACATACTTCCAAATGGGCTACAGGCTAAAAGCCCCAGTTACCAAAGGAGCATGCTCACCAAACCCCAGAATCATGCCTGGGAGTCCCGAGCTGTGACTGGACAGACACCTGGGCGCAGCCTGCCCTCTGTGTGGCCAGGCAGCCGTGGCTGTCCGCAGAGTCCAGTGATGCAGCCTCCATCGCTCACTCACATTTTCTTAAAGCTGTAAATCTCCATAGAAGGCAACTGGCAAGTTCCCAAAGCCAGAGACCGTGGACGAGGGCACGTTACTAAAATTAGGGGCCGCACAGCATAGTAATGGAAGTCCGCCCCCCCCCCCTCGCCCAGTTCCCACCCACCACCAACCTCCCCCCCCCCGAAGCCCCCCCTCCCCCGCCTGACAGTCCTCCACAGGCACGTGTCGTGAGCGATAGCTAATGGGCTAAATAGACGTATTTCATGTATCTACAGATGTCTGCATGCACACTTCACATTAAGATGCATATAACAGGGTGGGTTTGAGCCCGTAATCTAGATGAAAGCTACGTGGCAGCGCTGGCCTCTGATCTGAGAGGTTGATGATTCTCCCTGGTGGGGGCCTCACGAGCACCGCCGGCCCGTCTGCCCACCAGGGGGCGATCACGGCAAGAGGACACTCCCAGGCTTGGGGAAGCGCTGGTTCTTTTCCGGTGCGGTTGGTGCTTTAGGTCACTTTTTCCATGAGAGATACCAAAGGAATTTCTGTGCTGGAGCCTCTCCCTCCAACATGAAAACCCAACTGGCACCCACTCACGGCCAGTCCCCACAGGTCCCCGAAGGCCCTGCCTCTGAGGGTCTGCCCTCTGGGAAAGGCAGTTCAGAGGGAGGCTGCTCTTTGTGACTCTATGTTGTTGGCATTTCCGAAGAGCAAAGTGGTGGGGTTTTTTCTTTGTGGTTTTTTTTTTCCCTCCATGTTTTTTGCATGCTCAGAAATGAAGGTTTTTTTTTTTTTAATACAATTTTTTAAGTATTAAAATGTTATAGAAAGCTGGGAATATAAGTGAGTCTGAAGAAGAAAATTAAAGGCGTTCCTAATGTCACAAGCTAGAGGTAGTCACAGTTAGCGTTTTGGTATATTTATCTTTCTGTCTCCTGGGTTTTCTTAATGCTTGTGTAACTCTTTTAACAAGGAAAAGAAAAGGGGAGAACCGTGCTGTTTATGTTTGCGTAGACCTGTGTCCTTTAATTGTTTGTTATCATGATGCGGTGTTTCCCTGTGTTGTGAAATACCCTCCAAAAGCATGAGCTGTCTTCATGGCTCCATCCTGCGGATCCATTATGATTTGTCTTACTAATTTCTCCCTGTTGGACCTTGGGGGTTGTTTACCCTATTTAGTTATTGTGAAATTACTTTAAATATCTTTGTACGTAAATCTTCTGTGCAAAATGCTGGGTATTTCGTTGGGGTAAGGTTTTGTAAGTGGAATTTCCGGGTCAGAATATTAATATTACCAGGAAACCTCCCGGAAAAGGTAGGCTGACTTCTGCTGTAATTAGAGGTCTGTGGAAGTGCCCCCTCCTGAGTGGGAGGTCGGAGGTCACTGCCTCCCATGAGAGGACCCCGCTGGAGCCTCAGGACAGGAAGTGGTGAGAGTGAGACAGGTTTTCCCGAGCTTGCCCTTTTCCCATTCTGCGGATGCCTCGGGAACCTGCCTTCATTCCTCTGTTCGCTGAGGCCAGGGGCCCGTGTACTCACCATCACCATGAGGCTAGCTCCCCGCATCCCATAAGCAGTCGGAGGCTGACACGTGACACTCACGGGGGTTTGTGTGATCTGTCCCCCAGGGCTCTGAATGGAATGCATCCAATCTGGAGGAGCTGCAGGGCTCAGGGTGAGTCTGCTCCCCTTGTCTCCCCCTGTCCCTTTGAGCAGCCTAGAAACCTGGCTCTGCCCCTGAGGTCAGGTCCAGCCCCGTGCTGCCTGCCTGTGCCTGAACTGCCTGCACCCCAGCAGTCAGGCTGATCTGCATAGCTACACAGATGGGCTGCAGAATGCCCCCTCCTGAATAATTCACGGGTTTAGATTTTCCTGGGGTTTGTGTGATGGCATGCGTGTCCCAGAGAATGGTCCTAAGTCACAGTCCAGTGAGATAGACAGCCTGGATGCTGTGCTGGGAAGGCCACGAGCCCCCTCCCGCCGGCCCACTGCCCTGCAGAGCTGCTGAGAGTCCTGGGGTGGACATGCCTGGCTGTTGGCCAGTCCACTGGACCACTGCCGGTTCTACCTGAGCTTCTACCTTTGGGCCTGGAGGGAACCTTGAGCTAAATACTCAGCATTAGGCAGAAACACATGCCTGCCTTGGTCTGAGAAATGCCCAGCAACAGGAGGTAAAAAAAAAAAATCTTTAAATCTAAACCTTCAAGAACAGATGTCTGGACATTAAAAAAAAACAACAAAGCCACAAAATCACTGTCCTGTGGGCCTGACATGATGACATCCTTGAATTACTGCATTTAAAAGTCAAGACTAAACAACTCTTAAAATGTATCTTTAGAACTGCCGGTTAAGATGCATTCTTTCAACAGAAAGTATTCTTAAAATGTAGGGGGATACTGTCTATGCTTTCTGTTTTGCTTAGAATAAGTAAACTGTTTTAAAGGTATTTTTTTTTAAAGTGTTTGTTAAGTGTTCACTTATAAAATCTACTTGAGGTATTCTCAACCTCCTGAAATTACTTTGTCCTTCCAGAAATATAAGTGTTAAGTTTAGAGATCCTCAAAGCCTGGCCGGCAGACCCTTCCATATTTATTTATTTATGGCCTGCCTTGTTTTAAAAAGGAGGTAAAGTAGTTCCTAAGGACATGAGTAATGGACAGATATTTTCTGCTTTTTAACTATTTAAAAGTAGAGACTTTGTTTTTTCTTAAAGTCTCTGTATGCTTGTAATAGTTATGAATTTTGAGACTCTGAGTTTATTAGGTGTACCGGTTAATAATGCAGATTTTTATTAATAGATGGAATTACCCCTATGTCGATATATATGCTATTTCATTATATTGATAACAAGCTTTAAAACTTCATATGTCAAATTTGCTGAAGGCATTAACATCATAGATATTTTTATGCTTAAAAATGTCAAATTTCATGCCCAAAAAAAGAGCATTTGCAGGAACTTTTAATTCATTACTTTATTTCGAAGAAAAGTGCTGCTGAAAGTTATCATATACTTAAGAAAGCTTATGGTGAACATGCTCCATCTCAAGATACTTGTGAACGCTGGTTTAAATGCTTTAAAAGTGATTTCTGTGTGAACAACAAAGAACGTCCAGGTCAACTGAAAAAGTTTGAAGACCAACAATTACAAGCATTATTGGATGAAGATGCGTGTCAGACTCAAAAACAATTTGCAGAAAGATTAAATGTTGTTCAGCAAACAATTTCCAATCATTTACAAGCAATGGGACAGATTTTAAAGGAAGGAAAATGGGTGCCACATCAACTGAATGAAAGACAAATGGAAAACTGAAAAGTCATCTGGAAAAGTTTCATGCCACTGAAGCAACTGGAAAAGTTGCTTCAGTGGCATGAAAGAAAGTCTTTTTTGTATCAAGTTGTGACATGATGACAAGTGGATTTATGTTGAGAATCCCAAATGCACAAAATCAGGGGTTGATCCATGTCAACCATCAACATCGACTGCAAGGCCAAATGGCTTAGGAAAGAAGACACTGCTCTGTGTTTGGTGGGATCAGGAAGGTGTGGTGTCTTATGAGCTTCTAAAACCAGGTGAAACTGTTAATACTGATCACTACCGACAACAAATAATCACTTTGAACCATACTTCGATGGTAAAATGGCCAGAATGGACCAGAAGACACAGAATAGTAATTTTGCTTCATGATGCACCATCACACACTTCAAAACCAGTTAAAGACACGTTAAAAGACCTTGCCTGGGAAGTATTAACCCACCCGCCGTATTCACCAGACCGTGCTCCTTCAGATGACCACTTGTTCCGATTGAGGGCACACGCACTTTCTGAGCAGCACTTCAAAATGTACAAAGAAGTGGAAAATTGGGTCTCTGAATGGTCTGCCTCAAAACAAGAAAAGTTCTATTGGTACAGTATTCATAAGTTACTTAAAAGATGGGGGAAACGTGTAACTAGCGATGGACATTACTTTGAATAAAGCACTTTGGATGTTTTTCTTGAAATTATCGTGTTTTCTTTTATTACAAAATCCCAATTTTTAACCGGTATCTGAATTTTTAACTAGTTAATAGCTAATCCGCATACCAGTTAAAAATTGGGATTAGCGCCCTGAGGTTTGGCTCAGTGGATTAGAGCATCGGCCTGCGGACTGAAGGGTCACGGGTTCGATTCCAGTCAAGGGCATGTGCCTTGGTTGCAGGCACATCCTCAGTAGGGGGTGTGTAGGAGGCAACTGATTGTTATTTCTAATTTTCTATCCCTCTCACTTCCTCTCTGTAAGAAAAGCAATTAAATATTTTTTAAAATGTGGATTTTGTAATAAAAGAAAACATGATAATTTTAAGAGAAACATCAAAAGTGTTGTATTCAAAGTAATGTCCGTCACTAGCTACACATTTACCCCATCTTTCAGGTCATTTGTGGAGACCGTCCCAATAGAACTTTTTTTGTTTTGAGACAGACCATTTGGAGACACAAGTTTCCACTTTGTGTGTTTTGCAGTGCTGCTCAGAAAGTGCATGTGCCATTTATCGGAACCAGCGGTCAGCTGAAGGAGCAGTACAACAGAATAGTATACATATCAAATATATATATCAACATATTTGTAACTCCATCTATTGAAAAAATCCACATTGTTAAGCGGAATGTCTGGTAAAAATGCATTTAAGTAATATATATCTACCTTCCAGAGTTAACATTTCTTAGCAATGCTTTGAACTGTTTTCTTTTTATAAGTTTTTTTATAAAGAAGTTTGTTTTTTTATTATAAATATAATACGTTTTCATCATGGAGAGGGCATTTAGAAAATACCAAAGAAATTATTAAGAAAGAAACAGAAGTCCTACCATAAAAACATATGCCCTTTAATGCATATTTGATTTTTTTCCCCTCTCTGTTCAATGTATTATTAACTTTGTTTTTTCGTAGCTCCTCTCTCTGGTTCTCCAAATGTGTTCTTTTTTTCTTTTTTTTTTTTTGTCATTGCAGTGTTGATTACATCTTAAATGTCACCAGAGAAATAGATAATTTTTTCCCTGGCTTATTTGCATATCATAACATCCGAGTCTATGACGAAGAGACAACGGACCTTCTTGCCCACTGGAACGAGGCGTACCACTTTATAAACAAAGCCAAGTAAGTGGGCGGAGAAGCCAAAGAAACCGGTCTGAGGGGGCCACTGGCAGGTGCTGGGCAGGCAGAAATTAATGTCAGCCCTGGGCACAGATACCTCCTGGCACAGGGAGCCTGGGTATCTGTCTGCTGGCCTCTGACTTCAGACCACAGGACCCTCAGAGTTGTTCTCCAGGCGGGGGCCCGAATGAGCTGGCTCTCTCCCACCTATCTGCCATTGGTTGTGACATTTGACCCGTTTCATCATCAGCTCTGGTTCCAGTTAAGAAATCGGTACCATGTGGACACTCTTGGGAGACTCTGCCCGAGGGAGTCGCTGAGCCAAAGGGGAGAGACGGGAGGGCCACTTGTATGCGGACTCAGAGAAATCTACTCAGGCAATGCCCTGAGCTATGGCTGCCCTCCTCCCCCCTCCTTGAGCTAATGCGATTGTCCTGTCCCTGCAGAATGGGACAGACACAGTGAGCCCGTCATGGGTTCACTCGACTCTGATCCTCACTGTATTCTCCTGCAGAACAGCTTTGCCTTACGCAGTCAGAACAGAAAGAGGGGACCCCTGGAAACCCCATCGTGCTCTGCACCCCTCCAGGTCAAAGCTACATAACCTGTTCTTCCCCGTGTCCTCATAGTTTGCATTCCTGGGGCAGACTGCAGACCAGCAGTCCAAAAAAAAGGCACTGAGATTTGGTGATAGTTTTAAGCCTGAGGTAGGAGAAATGAGCCTCTCCACTGGCAGGCTGGCTCCTCCAGGCAGGCAGGTGGGCTAGCCTCCCATGCAGGCAGAGCCCCAGCCCGGTGCTCCCTCCCATTGGTGCTCCGTCCCATCCTCCAGCAAGCAATACCGGGGAAACACTGTGTCTGGCCTTGTCCCCTCTGTTCAGTCAGCCGTGCCCGGGCCAGCACTGCCTTCTCACTGCCTAGGGCCCCATCCTCCCCTGGCTTTTCTCTGTCTCGGCCAAGCTCGTGGTGCTCGCCCTGGCTCCTTGACCTCCTGTCTCCCGAGGGCCTTGCGGCTTCCAGTTCTCTGACCCCATTCTTCTGTAGTAACCCGTTTCCCGTCTCCATCTGCTCTAGCTGCCATGTATCTAGAACTCTCTCTTACAGATCTCTCTCTTTCGCTGCCCACTTGCTTCCCACCCACAAAAGGGTGTTTGCTCTCTGAGCCTGACCCGGCCATGTGGGAAGATGCCCACCTCGTCCCTGAGCTCTCCCTGCAAAACCTCTCCAAGGAGAGGTTCATCTTAATTCCCCCTTGTGTGCGGATGGGTTTCGCAGGGAGCGATGTCCTTAGAGGGAGTGTGGACGGACGTGTGCCGCGTAAACATCAGCCCGGGAGCGTTTGGGCAGTGACATAACGTCAGGGTTTAAAACCGTCCGCTGTGCAAAGCCAGAGAGAACGAAGCCCAGCTTTTCTAAAACCCTCTCCCCGCGCCAGGAGGAACCACTCCAAATGCCTGGTCCATTGCAAAATGGGGGTGAGCCGCTCGGCCTCCACGGTCATAGCCTATGCGATGAAGGAATTCGGCTGGCCCCTGGAGAAGGCGTACAACTACGTGAAGCAGAAGCGCAGCATCACGCGCCCCAACGCCGGCTTCATGAGGCAGCTGTCCGAGTATGAAGGCATCCTGGACGCCAGGTGGGTGGCTGTCTGTCTGCGAGGATTGGCAGCGCTGAGCTGCAGGAGCCGCCGCCCGCCGCGAGCAGCAGCTTCCGCAGCCAAAACCCCGACGCAGGGGAGGGGGGGGTCCGGTTTGAGAAAAACAACTATTGTTCGGCGTCTGATGAGTGGTTTCCAGGAGGGATCTGCTCTGGTGGTGTTGGCACGCACGGCTGTTTTGCCGCGGGAGGGAACGGTGCCTGGCTCCTGTTCGGAGGCACGGCTGGGTGTGCGGCGCGGGCGTGTGGTGCCCCGTTTCCCGAGCATCTGCTCTGGGCCCAGCGCTGGGCCAGGCTCAGCCGCAGGACAGTGCCAAGGCCTGCGGGACAGTTGGGGTCCCCCCGCTTGCGGGCAGGCAGCTCAGGGCAGGCTCGTCAGCCCCCAGCCTCTCTCTGTAAGTGAAGAGCCAGCAGCCCCCTGGTAGGGTGGCTGTGAGATGCACAGGAGTTCACCTTGCAGAGGCTCTGCTAGGCCTGGCTGCAGTGGATATGATGTCGTTTTCGACATTTCTACCACACACACACACACACACACACACACACACACACACACACACCCGGGAAGGCCTGCAGGTACAGGTTACCCCCACTTACCGGAGAATGAGGGACTGACTGACACCAGAGCTTAGCTTGCCCTGTACCTCCAGCCAGGGACAGCAGAAGGGGGCACCTGCCCATGTTGTTGACCTCCAAGGCAGGGAGGCCCCGAGGTCGTCCCCCCCCCCCTGCGAGAGGGGTCCTCCAGCCACCCCAGGGGATCCCTGCTGTACCCCGGAACTCTCTGGCCTGTCCCCCTCCCGCTCTCTGTTCCGCCTGGAGGAGGCCTCCCGTTATTTGCAATGGGTGCTGTGAGGGAGCCGCAGCTGTCTCGGCCTCTGGCCGCTTTGAGGAAGAGGCCTGGACGGGGTCCAGAGGACAGCTCCGGCCAGCTCCGCTGTCAGGCAGAGAGGGCTGGACAGATCCCAGGCAGGCCGAGGCCGCGGTGGAGCAGTGTGCATCCCTGAGCCTTCAGCCACTCCCTGCACCAGTGCCCTTCAGCCCAGCCGGGGTTCCAGGCTGGGTTCAGAGCTGCGTGGTATTGATTTTGAATCGCAGCCCCATCTGAGGGCCCCTGGCCTCGCCCAGAACATGGCCAGGGAGTGGTCATGAGGGGTTGTGTCACTCTCGTGCATTGACCGACAATAGCAGATCCTTCATTTACATTTAATTCTCATCTCAACAACCCCATGATGTCTGTATGGCTCCGAGGCTTGTGGAGGTGACTTCTGTACTTCACTGTAAGCCTTCCCCTTTTTACCTTTATGTTTTAAAAAGGCATCATAAAAATAGCACCGCGGTATTAGAAGACAGATTTTTAAAACTGACCTGTAATCTCGGTGACCTAAACTAACGGAGCGGAATTTTGGCCTGGGCAGGATGTCCCGGATTTTTTGTCCACCAGAGTCGAAGAATGAACTCACAGACAGAAGATGGTCTAGCAAAGGTGGAGGTTTACTGAGGAACAAGTACAGACTCCCCGTGGGGAAGGGGAAAGGGTCCCACTGAGTTCTTTTCCCTGTGGCTTACAAAGCCTGCGGATCCTGGTGCCTCGATATAACCTCTGATTGGTCACCATTCCTACTTGGACTGGTTACTATAGTAACTCCCGGGCTCAAGGTCAGACCTCACGTGGGACATGTGAGGTTCTCCCCCCTCCTTATTGTTTTCCTAGTCCCGTTGGGCTTTCTTCTCCTTCTGGGTGAAGGGCTTCCTTCCTTTATTTTGAAAATATAGACCTTTTCCTGTTCCCAGCTCCCTCCTTCTGGGGAAATGGGCCTGTGGCAACTTTTCAGCTTCCCTGTTGTGTGGAAATATACCTTCTGCTGCTCTGCAGCTCTGTGCTGCTGCCATGGTCCTCTTAATTTCTAAAATTTCCTAAACCCCAAAGAATGCCTATCGCACTAATATTTATAGTTTTCTGGAATCTTCCCAACTTCATTCACGTGCGTTACGTCCTTACGTTGCTGTATCAGTATGACTATGTACATGTATAAACATTTCTACTGACAGATGGAGAAGCCGAGAGGTGGGACCCTAAGTGACGTGACCAGATGAGACGGGACACGAGGCTCCTGATGGCGGTTCAGGCCTCGGTCCCCTCCACCTGTCTGCCATGTTGTCACGTGACAGGACGTCCTTTTAGGTTTCTTGTGAGGGCCACGATGGCGTTTGGGTCCCAGCGCTGGTTCTCTCATCCTGTCATTTCTTGGGGACAACTGAACAGAGAGAGGCCTTATGCCAGCCTTGCTGGCTCCCCCTACCCCTACCCCTCTTCCCAGGAGCGGCTGGGCCCTGGCCCTGACCTTCCTCTCTCCTTCCTCCCCCAGCAAACAGAGGCACAACAAGCTCTGGCGCCAGCAGACCGAGAGCCGCCTGCAGCCGCCCGGGGATGACCTGGCGGGGCCCGGGGACTTCTTGCCGGAGACCCTGGGCGACACCCGGGAAGCCCGGCTCTCCTGCTTGGACGATGCCGCCCAGCCTGGCTTCCCGGGGGGAGGAGGCCCCTCTCTCTCCTGCTGCTTCCGGCGGCTCTCGGACCCCCTCCTGCGCTCCCCGGGCGACGGAGCCGGCGGCGCGGTCCGGCTGGAGGACCTGGAGAGGGATGCGCTGTTGGATGAAGCAGCTCCGCCTCCAGCAGCACCCAGGCCAGCCCGGCCTCCCCCGGGGGGCCCCGGGCCCTGCGAGGAGGAGGGGAAGAGGAAGGCAGAGTTTGGAAGCCCGAGAGCCCCGAGGGGCCCCTTGCCCCCGGTGGAGGAGATGGAGAGGGAGGAGGCTCCCGGAGGAGGGAGGCGGGGGAGGCCCCCGGCCCAGCTGGACAAGAAGCTGCTCAACCGGGAAAACCTAAATAACAACAACAGCAAGAGGAGCTGTCCGGACGACTTCGAGGTAGGTGTGGGGCAGCGAGCCGGCCACGTCCCTTCTGTTCTGCCCCCAGAGCAGGCCGCCGCCTCTGCTGCCCCCTCCCAGCCCCTCTGCTACTTCGTCCTGCCGGTTTGGGGACCCCTGGGTTTGTTTCAGAGCGAGCGGACCCTATTCCTGCTGTGAGAGCCCCATCCCTCCAGGGCCCCCCAGCCCGCCCCGCGCCTCCTGCCATGTCCTGGTCTCTGGCTGTGTTGCACTCTCACCACGTACTTGTTCCCTCCAGCACGATGCTCTGTTTGGGATCCTCAACAAAGTGAAGCCTTCCTACAACTCCTGTGCCGACTGCATGTACCCTACAGCCGGCGGGGCGCCCGAGGCCTTCGGGGAGCGGCGCGAGGCCCCCGGGGCCCCCGCCATCTGCACCCAGCCCACCTTCCTGCCCCACCTCACGTCCTCCCCGGTGCCCCACGCAGCCGGCCGGCCCCGAGCCCTGGAGAAGCTGGCCTCCGGCCCCCCCGAAAGCCCCCCGCTCCTGCCACCAGCAGGCCCCAGGAGGCCGGACCCCGGGGGCCCTGGGCCCAGGGCTGCCCCGGAGCCGCCAGCCAGCCCTTTGGAACCTTCCAGAGACACCCCCAAAGTGCTGCCAAAGTCCCTCCTCTTGAAGAATGCTCACTGTGATAGGAACCCTCCCGGCATGGACGTGGTGAAGGAGGACCCGCCACCCAAGAAGGACGCGAAGCCGGCCAAGGACCTGCGGCTGCTGTTCAGCAAGGAAGCCGAGAAGCCGAGCGCGCACAGCTACCTGATGCAGCACCAGGAGTCCATCATCCAGCTGCAGAAGGCCGGCCTGGTCCGCAAGCACACCAAAGAGCTCGAGCGGCTGAAGGCCGCGCCCGCAGACCCGGCGGTCCCCCCCAGGGACGGCCCCGCCGGCCGGCTGGAGGCCAGCATCCCCGAGGAGAGCCAGGACCTGGCTCCCGAGCCGCTGCCCCCGGGGGACGGGAAGCCAGCCGCCGCCCCCGCCCCGCCGGAGGGGGCCTCGCTGAAGAGCCCCTCTCCCTTCCTCTGCCGCCTGGACCACACCAGCCACTTCTCCAAGGACTTCCTCAAGACCATCTGCTACACGCCCACCTCGTCCTCCATGAGCTCCAACCTGACCCGCAGCTCCAGCAGCGACAGCATCCACAGCGTGCGCGGCAAGCCGGGGCTGGTGAAGCAGCGGACGCAGGAGATCGAGACGCGGCTCCGGCTGGCGGGCCTCACCGTCTCGTCCCCGCTCAAGCGCTCGCACTCCCTCGCCAAGCTCGGGAGCCTGGACTTCTCCACCGAGGACCTGACCAGCGAGGCCGACGTGTCCACCATCGCCGACTCCCAGGACGCCAAGTCGAGCGAGGCCTCCTTCCTGCAGGAGCCCCAGGCCGCCCCCCCGAGACCGTCGGGGAAGCCCGCGCCAGAAAGCCTGAAAAGCTCCTCGAGGCCCAGCAAAAGCTGACCCGCCCTCCACCGATCACGTGACCCCTGCCCGAGTCTCACCGCGGGTGTCGGTCAGCCCCTCGTGCCTCGCTTTCCCTCCAGCAGCCGCGTCTAAGAGCTCGCAGCCCGGGAGGAAGGGGGAGTGTCTGCCGTGCGGCCAGCTGACTCCGAGCCCGAGTCATGCGTTTGCCAGAGGGATGGTGCTGCGGGGCCTGCACAGACGCGCGCACACGTCACAGAGCTCCGTGTGCAGCAGGCACCCGGTCCCAGCTCATTCCGCCCGCGAGGGAAACGTCTTGGACGGCAATATCAGTCCTACCTCCGTTCTTGCTATGCTTTTTATGTCGAAAATGCAGTGAGGACCAAGTTTCTTTCCAGGGGACACTGCTGTGTTGGAAAAGGGGTTCCCAAGGAGGAATTTTGCCGTCGTTGCTTGGGACCCCACAAGGTGTTAGGATTTCTGACCCAACCACGCCGAGCCCTGCGAGGTGCAGGGATTCGAAGGTGTCCGAGGCTGTTGTGGAACCAGCTCTGGGGCGTGGGCCTCCGTGCTGCTGACCCCGAGGTCCTGGCGTGTTGTGAACGCCGAGGGATGTGCCTCTGGCCCCCCGGGGTCCGGTGGGAGAGGAACATGTGTGATGTCCTCAGTTGTTGCTTACGGAGGGTTTCAAATTGCCCCCCGTCGGGGGCGGGGGGGAGGACCAGGAGCACTGCTGGTCTCTGCTGCTGAGCGCCGTGGCGGGGGGAGGTGTTGACAGTGTCTGGGGGGCCCGGGGTCCTGAAACGCGACTGTTGCAAAGCTTTTCCATGTTTACAGTTGCCGCTTCCAGGCGGGGATGCTACTGCCCGCTTCCCTCCGGCGGCTCCCAGGGGGAGGACGGGGCGCAGGGGGGGGCGGGGGGCTGGGGTCCCAGTGGGCTCTGAGCAGCCCCGTTAGTCAGGTGAGCTCAGTGCCTCATGCTACCGCTGCTCTGAGCGTGATGGAGGGTCGCCCGGTGTCGGTCAGCAAGATGGGGTTTTAACATATTTTGAGAAGAGAGAAGGGGCTTGGTTAGAAAGGTTGAATTCGGGGGTCGGTAAACTTGTACGTGGTCCCATGAGCTCAGAATGGCTTTTACCCTTTTCAGGGGTTATAACAAAATTAACTGCGTGGCAACTAAGACCACGTAGCCTGCAAAGCCTAAGATGTTTGTTACCAGGCCCTGTACGTACAGAGTTCGCTGACCCCTGGGCTTATGGGACAGCGCAGGGCGACCCAGAGCCCGCTGGGCCCAATCCTTCTCCCAACCCAGACCTCTCAGCCCACCCCAGGGTACCTCCCGCAGGCCGGGGCGGCTGTGTTTGGGGGGACCCTCCTGGCTGGTCAGCCAGGTTACTTCAGTGAAATAGAAGGCCTTCCAGAGCCAGCCGGATCCTGAAAGGGGGTGACTGAGTTGCCATCGGACGTCGGGCAGAATGGGACCCCGACAGCCATCTTTCCAGAAGAACCAGGCAGGGTCTTCGGGAACCAGGCTAGTCCACATTTCAGCCAGTGCGAGAGTTTTTGTGTTTTTTTGTTTGTTTGTTTGTTTTTGCAAAAGCCCTCTCTCTGGGAACTTTTTCTCCCTGATCGCATCCTTTTAATTTTAAAAAAATACATGTTATTTTTTTACTTGATAGGAATTTTTTTCCCCCACCACCATTCACTGAAATCACCTTAAAAGGTGATTATTTACTTTTCCCAAAACCCCTTTTAGGATTTTCTCCCTCTCAGCCAACAAAAGCATAGTCTTAAATAAATAAATAAATAAACAAATAAATAAATAAAAATTAAGTGCAGTATGTCTTGCCAAATTAAATTTCATGTGGCGGATCAATTTTCGTGTCAAAATAATCCTTTAGGTTTGGTGATGAAAGGCTGTTTTGCTTTTTTAAACAAGAGAGTGAGACATTTTTGAAAACTTTAATTTTGAAAGCCATCGTTTTTCCTATCCAGTGAAAAGGTGGGCGGAGGATGACAGATCTGAGTGGGTTTTTGGCTTTTGTCCAAATTATCTTTGCAATTCTCAGAAGCACAATTTGTATATTAACATCCAAACCAGGGCCCCGCCGTCGGAGCAAAACGAAGAGGCATCCTTGGGGCGGTGGGTAGACTTCCCACAGGCCCAGGCCAGTTGCGTGTTGGCATCTGGCAAATGGCTGCCTGAAGTGCACTGACGAGAGCATCCTGCCAGGCGGGGGCACCTCGGCATAGACCTGGGGTTTGCCCCGTAAGACTCACCGTATCCTACCCGCTGTCCTGTCTGTAATCCTAGCTGGTGGGGAAATTCTCAAGGCGAGTGGCACAAGTCAGAGGCAGGGCGTGTGCCCTGCAAGTCCTGGGCATCGGCGACTGCCCCCTATGTGGAACGCTGTTTGATGAGAGAACATTTTCTCAGCTGCATTTCATTGTCACCTCATCTCCCCTCCGCCCCCCCTTTTAGTCACGTGGCACGCCAAAGGTTCAGGGGAGCCAGATCTTCCTGTTGCGCTGGTACAGGGGGTCACCCTGCCAGGGGTTGTCAGGTGGAAAGGGGAAGCTGACCCCGGAGCGAGGGGACGCCGCTTTGATGATGTCGCTTTCCGTCTCTCTGTCCCAGAGCGATGTCTGTCACTCTTGCCGTTCCCCTGCCTCCTTGGCCTCAGACCCTGGGCTGGTGACAGCGCTCTGCCTGGTGAAGACACCCTGCCCACCTGGTGTGCAGGTCACTCACCAGGCCCTCAGGTGGCTCCAGCCCCTCTCTCTCCTGCCCTCACAGCTGCAAGCATTCCAGCCCACCCAAAGCCTCTTCCCTCCTGGGCACGCCCAGAGGCTGCCACAGGAGGGAGGCCAGTTTGCAATAGGATTAACACTCAGGACGGCACTGCACCCCGGCCGGCCGTCTGGTCTCCCCCAAGGTCCGATCCGGAAGGTGGATGAACCCCCCAGAACAAATGCTTATCCTTTAGTCAAGGTCATGTGAGTCACCTCCCCCCGAGGTGTCCGAAGAGGGGCTTGCCCTCTGTTGCCTGGAAGTGCTTGATGCCGGAATACATTTCACCCAACCCTCTTCTGGCGCGCCACCCAGCAGGGCTCCCGTCCAACCTCTGGCCATGGGGCCGCGCAGGCTGGGGAGATGGTGACATCTGGACAGGTCCCGCCCCACAGACTGGCTGACGCCGCATGCCAAACCAAGGGAGTGATTGACCCCATGCTCAGCTACTGGTCTTTTTATTGTCTGCTCTGCCATGGATTGCCTGTTGTGTTTGAGTTCACTCTGCATATATATATATATATTTGGATATAGATATATATATAGATACATATAACTTGAATCCTATCATCATGTGCATCACGTCTCATTCACACACGCACCACCCCACACCGTGCGACAGGTCCCCTGGACCGGTCTGGAGTGACGCTGTGTGGTGCCACACACTCAGTAGCTCTGGACGGGACCGCCCTGTTCCGGTCCTGGAGGAGGTGCCGCAGCCCCGACCTCAGCCCTTACCCAGGAGGCCCTCCGGCCAGGCCACCAGTCCGTCCCCTGCTGTCCTTCCCGCCGGCTGCGCTGCAGAGAAGGTGGCTGCTTCCTCCCTCCGCGGACACTGTAATTACTGTCCTACAACTGAGTGCCTTAATCCCAGTTTACAAATACTGTGTATTTGTGGGAAAGGGCTGAGCTCTCACCTTCTGTGATGGGATCCTTGGCCTCGTCCGTGGTGGTTGGCGTTGGGGCCGGAGCTTGCCCTGTCCCCGTCCCCGTCCCCATCTGCTGTGCAGTCTCTCTAGGCGCGCACACCCACAACTGTCCGAGGAGCATGGCTCGCATCGGCTTGGCGAGTCCCTGTGATGGTGAGGGGAGACCAGAGCTTGGTGTGCCGGCAGCTGGGGGTGCTGACTGCAGCCCAACCCTCGCCCGTTCCCCCATCACACAGCTATACTCATCTTGAATAGAGGTTTTTATTCCCGCCTAGACCACCACCCCCCCTTCTGTGTTGGTGTCCTCAGCTCTTTGCAACAAAATGCAGGTACACACACACACACACACACACACGCACACACCCCTCCACACCCCCAAATCAGGAGCTCCACAAGGTGGGCTGCCCTTTGGTGTTCAGAAGCTGCCAGTGGGTTCCAGTGTGTTGTGTAACGATACCCTTTTTTTTATTATTATTATTATTATGTTGTTGTTGTTTTTTATAGTCTATATTTAAAAGGCAGTATCTTTTGTACTGTGAATCTGCAGTAGAAGATGCATAATGCACTTTTTGTTTTTTTTACTTCTGTTGGTGTGTACTGTATATAGTCTGTGTGCTTCTTGTGACAAAAATAAACGTTTTCTTTATAAATGCCTGATGACCTGTGAGCTCGTGCAAAGGAAAACGGCCTGCTCCACCCTCGCCAGGGCAGTCAGGCGCGTCCGCATCACCGCGACGGCCGGTCTTTGCTGAGCACCTACTGTGTGCCCGGCCCCATGCTAAAATCCTGGACAGTTTAGACCCAGGAAAGACTCAAAGGAGGAAATTGCTCCCCTAGGAATTGTCTTTCCCTCCGATTTTGCCAGTGAGGGGGGAGCGGGCCCCAAAGCCCTGTCCCTCAGCAGAGTGGGACTTGGACTTGGTGTGTTGGCTCTTCCTGCACAAGCAGGAAGTGGAAAGCCAGAGGGAAGTGTGTGCTGGAGAGAAGCACTGAGGCTGCGGACACTGCATGCGTGGGAGGGGCTGTGGAGGGATTGCTGCTCATGCCCAGGGCAGGGCTCTGGGGAGTCCCAGTCACTGACAGGGCAAAGGCTTCTTCCTTTCTAATAGGTTCTACTGCCTTTTAGAGAGAGAAGAAGGAAGAGGGAGAGAGAGAGAGAAACATTGATGAGAGAGAAACATCCACTGGCTGCCTCCAGCTGCGGATCAAGGCCACAACCTGGGCATGTGCCCTCACTGGGAATCGAGCCTGTGACTCTTGGTGGGTGGGTCCATGGCCAAGGCTTATTTCAAGCTCAGGTCCCAGTCCACGGCAGGACAGGACTTCCTGGTGGCTCTCCTCCCTTGGGGACCGGCACAGCCGGGCTGCTGGCAATTAAGGCCCCGCCTTCTTGGCGTTCTTTGCTCCCAGCTGTGCATTCATTGGGGAAAGAGCACAGGGACTCGTGTTCGTGCTTAACCGCCTTTGGCTGCGATACATCACGTCTGCACACGTTCCGAGGAGCGAGGCCTGTGAAGCGGCCCCACCCACCCCAGCTGCCAGGGCCGGGAGATGGCAGGTGCACGTGTGCCTGGTGCGCGCCGACAGCCCTCCACCCATGCCTTGGCGTGACCCCGACATTCCAGTGTCCGCACACCCAGCAAACACTTTACCTGGGCTTGCTCTGTCCCTGATCTGGACTTGGAGGAGATGGATGGGTAAACTGGGTGGAGTGGGAGTTTATTGCTTTACAACAGGAATTATTCTCACTTCGAGCTAGCATGTTAAATCCATCCTGATAAAAAAAAAAAAATCTACCTGTGGCCGAAACTGGTTTTGCTCAGTGGGTAGAGCATCGGCCTTCAGACTGAAAAGTCCCAGGTTCAATTCCGGTCAAGGGCATGTACCTTGTGTGTGGGCACATCCCCAGTGGGGGGTGTGCAGGAGGCAGCTGATGGATGTTTCTAGTGATCCCTTTCCCTTCCTCTCTGTAAAAAATCAATAAAAATATTAAAAAAGGGAGGGAGGCGCCCGAAACTGGTTTGATTCAGTGGTAGAGCGTTGGTCTGCAGAATGAAAGGTCCCAGGTTCGATGCCGGTCAAGGCCATGTACATTGGTTGCAGGCACATTCCCGGTAGGGAGTGTGCAAGAGGCAGCTGGTCGATGTTTCTCTCTCATCGACGTTTCTAGCTCTCTATCCCTCTCTCCTCCTCTGTAAAAAATCATCAATAAAAATATTTTTAAAAAAAGAAAAGGGAAAAAAATCTACCTGTGGAGTCAGTGATGGTCAGGAATTGCTCCGGGAGTCAGCGAAATGACTAATGGTGAGCTGGACGGGGCCTTCTCTGGAGGATGTTTTCGCAACGATCTCTGAGGGTCACGGTTCCGGACGCTCTTCCTTGGTCAAGCTGGACACGCCTAGGGCTTGCCCCTTGGGCTCCAGCCACGAATCAGAGCCCGGCGAAGGAGCCTGGCACTCTGCTTTGGAGGGTCCCCTGGGAATTCTCTTGGCCGGGGTCAGATGCCACTGGACCAAAACGGTGATGCAATCCAGCAGGCTTCCACTTTGCTAGTCACAGTCCCATTAACATGCTTTCTGGAGACCACACCCACGGCACCCTGGCAGAAATCGGGTTTTCTCAGAACTCAGCTACTCATTTACCCCGGGGGCCCTCGGAGAGCCTTCCTGGAACCGGCTGTGTTTACCCGGATTTCGTCCACAGAGCAGCAACCCTGAGGTGGTAAGTGATCCCAGATCAGCCCTCCGACGGGGCTGGCTTTGCAGGGAGCGGGGGCTTGTCTGTGCAGCCCGGGGAAGCCCCTCTTGGCAAGATGCTTGGAAAAGGCTCCAGCAGGCAGAGCTTGGAGGATGACCACGTGAAAAACATTTTTTTTATATATATGTTTTATTGATTTTTTTACAGAGAGGAAGAGAGAGGGATAGAGTTAGAAACATTGATGAGAGAGAAACATCCATCAGCTGCCTCCTGCACACCCCCTACTAGGGATGTGCCCGCAACCAAGGTACATGCCCTTGACCGGAATCAAAGCTGGGACCTCTCAGTCCGCAGCTGATGCTCTATTCACTGAGTCAAACCGGTTTTGGCTGAAAAACATTTTTTATTGATTGATTTAGCAGAGAGAGAGAGAGAGAGAGAGAGAGAGAGAGAGAGAGAGAGAGAGAGAGAGAGAGAGAGAGAAACATAATCTGTTGTTCTGCTTATGAATGGGTTCATGGGTTGATTCTTACATGTGCCCTGACCACAGATCAAAGTGTATCGGGATCACGCTGCCACCCACTGAGCTGCTCGGCCAGTGCAGGTTGACTGCATTTTTTAAATTTCTTTATTGATTAAGGTATTACATATGTGTCCTTATTCCCCCATAACCCCCCACCTCCCATTTATGCCCCCAACCCCCTGTAGTCTGTGTCCATTGGTTAGGCGTATATGCATGCATATAAGTCCTTTGGTTGATCTCTCCCCCTTACCCTCCCCCTCCCCCTATCTTCCCAGGATGACTGCCTTTTAGGAGGGTTTACTTCATAGTGGGAAAGCCCTTTCCAAAGGAGATGCCCGCCAACAGTGGCCAACGTAAGGCCTGCCCCGAAAACACCGCCCCCCTCGTCTCGCACCCGCACACCAGGGGGCAGGATATATTTCTGCACCCTGTGTGCACCCACACTTGACACACACAAGACATTCCTCTACGTGGAGTCCTCTGAGGGCCCTCTGGGCGTGATCCTCCATTTGCAGACGAAGAATCAGGCCTGCAGAGGGTTTGTCCAAGGTCATTCGCCCAAGGTTACATCTCAAAAGCGGTGACGCCAGGAAGGTATCGCTCCTTCCCCATGACCCCTTTCCCAGTGCCGCCCCACCCAGAAGGAGTGAGCAGCAAGCGGAACTGCATCCTGATCTCACAGGAACCTGGAAGGAAGCCCCCGGGCGGGGACATCTGACCCACACCCTGCTCCCAGGGCTGCCTGCGCGACTCCAGGTGTCTCCCTCCTCCAGTTCGTCCGTGCTCACCGTGGTTTGCCTTTTAAAGGGAAACTTCGCGCGGGGCAGGCATGGTTTAGTGGCTGAGCGTCGACCTATGAACCAGGAGGTCAAGGCTCAATTCCCTGTCAGGGCACATGCCCAGGTTGCAGGCTGGATTCCCCAGTAGGGGGCATGCAGGAGGCAGCTGATCAATGATTCTCAGCACTGATGTTTCTTCTTTTCCATCTCCCTTCCTCTCTGAGTCAATAAAAATATATTTTTTAAAAATAATTGGAGAATTAATTGATAATGGATGGAAACTCCCTTCTGCCTGGCTCACCATCCATGTTGAATCCATGGTGACCAGGATCACATATTGGCTGGGGGGGTGACGGGGAGGGAGGCAGGAGGGCAGTAGCTCACACTGAGCACCTTTCACACGTGTTTCCGGGTTGACCCTCACAGGAAGTGTGAGCCTGTGTTACAAAAAGGTGGAAGCTCAGAGATGTTGGGTAAGAGGGGTCAGGGCCACACAGCCAGGAAGGGTCCAGATTCATCCGCTCTTCCCAGCGGTGGGCTGTGAGCTTCTCTGGCTGCTGGGCCCTCTGCCTGAGCACCTGAGAGGCTGGCCGTGGGACCGGGAGGCGTGATGGTGCAAGAGCA